AAAATAAACACCAGGAAGACACACTGCAGTGGAGAGAGAAGTCTGCTTGGAAAAAATTGAACATCCATGTATAACTGTCAAAATTATGGAATAACTTGATTCAAAGCTACTTTTTTTGAACAATCCACCCTTAAGTCTGCTCGGACCTTGACCACTACCTTAATTTTTAAACTACAGGAGAGGTGAAAAACATTTTTAATATTTTTGTAACTGAATACTTTTGGGGAGGAGTTGACTTTTTAATTTTCATACTCCAGTCTACTTCCCATCCTTTTTTTCCCAACTAAGTCAACCAGACCTCTAATAAAGCACATGGGGGTAGGAGTAAAGACAAAATTACTCTGGGCAAAGTCTCTCCCAGAGTTCAGAAAGCTACTGACCACAAATGAGAGGTGTTTCATTTGATATATTTTCAGTTTATTATCTCAGGTGCAACTTGTCCAAGTTAAACGCTTTGCAAATGCATGGCACTTAGACTGGATCAGGGACAGAAAGGACTAGGCACAGGTACCAGAGCTAAAAGCTGACTGGAGAAGTATCTGGGAGTACTAGAAATGAAAGGTTCAGGCAAACGCTACCAGAGCACAATACTGGGGAACCAGAGGAAGCATCAGGAACTGCTTACAAGCACGTCTGCTGATGATCTCTCCCTCCCTATCCCCTGCCAGCTTTCCTACCTCTCCCCTAGAATGCAACGAAGAAGCAGTAGCTGCAGGAGGTACCTCAGGAGAGCAGTACAGACGTACTGCATCGGGTCACGGCTCTGCCACCAAGTGTGTCAGAATGGCTTCTGCAGAAGTACTGTACACTGGTTTCTTTCTCAGTGAACACAAAACAGAACTGAGAGACAACACAAAACACATGTACAACATGAAGAAAGTCAGTCCCTTAGAAAAAAAAATGTAAAGCCTGTGTCCACACAGCTAAACTCTTCTCCCTGCTCCTCTACAATAGAGTTGTTTGCATTTAACTTGTTTATTGGATAGTCCCTGTAATGAGCTGGGCACTGTGCTGAGTCTGGAAATTATGTGGGAGAGCACTAAATAGCAAAATAATATCAGAGAGTAAGTTAACAATTACACAGTGCAGACTACCATCAGGCAGTGTTCAATCCTTGTCATGGCCCTGCTTAGTTTGTTAGTATAAACATGAACATTAACAGATGCCCTACACTCATACTGCTCAGCCAGAGGGTAAAAATGAGACAAAACTTAAGCAGACATCTCCTAATGTTTAGACTCGCTTCAAAGAAATGTGTGGAAATCCAAATTCAGTTCATCCCAATGTACTTCCCCAACCCTTTCCAAATAAGGGCAATGAAGTTTTATCAGTTTTGCATGAACTATTTCACTTTTACAAAAAAGCTCACTAAATTATCCACAAAACATTTCCAAATTCTTGCATGTTTTACTAAGATTTAAGTCTACATTCCTTCCACCCAAGCACACATGGTTTCTCTAGACAGATGAAACAAGCCACACAAATGACACAAGTGACGCCGTAAGCTTTTCCTAGGCCATACATAAACACCAATACAAGCCTACCTTTTCAACAAGTTAGCAAAAATTTATCACAGGACATTTGTTCAAAAGAATTGTGTTACAAGAATGTGATTTCATTGAAGAAAATAACAACATACCTTCTAAAGCTGTTGAAGTAAAGAATTCTCTCCCACCGCCCAAACCTTGAAAACTAGATCAACTTTTTAGAGTTGCAGATTGCTGAGGAAACCAAGATGATCAATCTGAGACTGTTTCAAAGTGCCTAAACCCACATACTTGTAATTTATGACCTAGCATAGTCTGAAACTGTTAAATCTTGACATCACAAGTTTTACTGTTTAATTAGAACATATCCAAGAAACAAAAGCTTCCAATGGAATACACTTCCAAGTAAGAGATGGAAACAATTTCTTTAAAGAAGTTTGTGTAGCATAAGAATTTCCATGATGTTCACATTTTCTATTAAGCTTTCTTACTGATACTTATTAAAAGCAGCATCAAACTTCAAATTACTGAAACTGCCTTACACACACACACGCAACATCAAAGAATCTTCCACCAGCAAGTGTGCAATGTGTATTATGCTATCCTTTTTATTCTTCTAAAGTAAGACTGTTGTATAGACTTTGCAACATCTGTGAACATTTCTTGATCCATCTGTAGATAAAAAAAGAAATTTCCTGGAAATAGTAAAACCTAGACTAAAATTACTGTCATATTTTGTAAGATTTAATTCAATTAAAAAATGTAGAGTATTTATTACTTGTTTTCGGACACTGAAAATTACATTTGCTATGTATCCTCTGTTCTTCTACCAATACTGCACCAAGTTACCAACAGACATACTGGTGCTTGTCAGCTAATCTTACCTGCAAGACTCAGACTACAGCTTTTGAAGTGAATCAATCACTCCAAGGTGCAGCAATCCACTACCTGTAGTGCATTGTCATAGCGCAAACTTTAATGACATATATCTCTCCTTTTAATGTAGAAGGAAGTGTTGAACTGAAATTGTATGACTATACCACCCAGGTTCCCAGCCTTCAAAAACTATTAGTGTCAAACATCGCACTTATTTTATTTTAAGAATATCATATTTAAGTTCAGCATAAAAAGGCAAGACAGCCATATAAAACACAGCTTCTCATGAAAAGTAACTATCAGGTATTTTGTGATAGGCCAGAATTCAGAAAGGTTTGTGGCCTCAGAAAACTTCCCCTAACTCATTTTCTTTTAATTACTCAGACGCAGAACTTTTCTTCTCTTCAGTGAGCTAAGAATCATTCTCTTTAATACTCTTAATTCAAGAGAATTTAAATACGTCTGGAATGACTACAGTGTTATTGAATACTGCAAGAATGCACATCGTTTTGATGCCAGACACCATGATACAAATTAATATTAGCTGAGCCAAAAAATCCCCAGCCACTTTCATTATTGTTTGGACAGTAAAGAACAGGGATCCCTAGTGTCCTGGTTTTGCCTAGGATAGAGTTAATTTTCTTTCTAGTAGCTGGTACAGTGTTATGTTTTGTGTTCAGTATGAGAAGAACATTGATAACACACTGATGTTTTCAGTTGTTGCTGAGTAGTGTTTATAGTAAGTCAAGGATTTTTCAGCTTCTCATGCCCAGCCTGCAAGAAGGCTGGAGGGGCAGAAGAAGTTGGGAGGGGACACAGCCAGGGCAGCTGACCCAAACTGGCCAAAGGGGTATTCCATACCACGTGACGTTATGCCCAGTATATGAACTGGGGATAGTTGGCCGCGGGGAGGTAGATCGCTGCTCAGGAACTAACTGGGTATCGGTCAGCAAGTGGTGAGCAATTGCATTGTGCATCACTTGTTTTGTATATTCCAATTCTATTATTATTATTTTCATTATTATTATTATTTTCTTCCTCTCTATTCTACTAAACTGTCTTTATCTCCATGCACAACTTCTACTTTTTTTCGATTCTCTCCCCCATCCACTGGGGGCAGGGTGGGAGTGAGCAAGCAGCTGCATGGTGCTTAGTTGCCGGCTGGGGTTAAACCGCAACACCTAGGAAAGGTTTCTAAAGTGTATCACAGTTTCATTTGGATAAAGAAATCAGTTACTTATACAAAAAAGATGGTAGAACACAGCAGAATCCTATACAAATACTATAATACCTTGAAAGTAATTTCAGTTTGTACATAATTATATTACTTAAAATTTAAACCTTTTTTAATTACTCAGAAGTATTTTGACTCTTATTAAGTCATGGTCAACCCTTCTAGGCAATGCCTGTTAGAATGCCCAGGAACTCACCTTCTACAAGACTCACTAGGTTGGATACAACCTCAAGAGCACGTCTGTGTCCATGGTTCTGGAAGAGCTATACTTATGTCTATCCTAATGGATGCAGGTCCAATCTGTTCTTTAGAGACAACATTGACAGATATTTACAGTGTCTCCAGGCAGCCTACTGCAGCTCTTCACTACCACTACCATTCAGGCGTTCCCTCATCCCCCTTGCCCAGCCTGAATCTTCCTTGCTGCGATTAATTATTATCCTATTTTCCACTGATATGCAGAATGGATTGCATGCTTCTTTTCTGTAAGAGTCTTTCACATTTTTGAAGAACACGTTCTCCTCAGTCATCTCTAAACTAAACAATTCCCATTCTTCTGGTCTGTCCTCGAGGGTCAAGTTTATTCTCATCTCCCTGCTTTAGACACTCTCCAACTGGTCAGTATCTTTGTTGAAGTGCTGTGACTAAAACTGAAAGCATTTGTGGGTAATCCTCTTGGTTACACATGCCAGTGCCAGTCTAGGTATAGAATTTTCATTCCAGCAAGACTTTGTTGGCTTACCTTTGCTTCTCTATTATTCCTGCCCAAATGTGCACTTTGGCCTAGCACATATTCCAATTGAATTATGCAACACCCTCTCTCCCTCCAACTTCTGCTACTGTCATAATTGTTTTGAATTCCAATTCCATCTCACTCTGTACTTCATCCATTCTTATACTTAGGTTATTGGTAAATGTAATGGAAACTGCCCACCTGCTATCTAGGATAAAAACTTCAATCATTGTAGTGGGTAATCTCAAAACACCCATTGTGATTTTAATTTGTGGTAACACCAGCATGGTTTTCAAAACAGCCTTGCACATCTTCTGGAATTTTAACTTAGACCATGCTCACCTGCAGACTGTCATGAGAAACAGCAACAAAAGCTTTTTTACAAACAACCTAGATGGTATCTATTGACCTTCCCTTATTCAGAAGGCTGGTAAGAAAAATTTGACAGCTTTGACAAAACATACTTCATAACTCCAAGGTAGTTATTATTCATCTTGGTTTCCTCTAGTATTCATAAAATTTGTCCACTATTTTTCTGGGAAAGTTCAACCAAATGGTAGCGATCTCCCAAATTCTTTCCTTTTGCTGCTTAATTCTTGCTCCATCATTTTCTGACTACTGTTATCAGCACTCTTTTAAAAAGAGTAGAAACAGAGATAAAAGTACTTACAGGTTTCCTAAGGAAAAAAAGAGACAGTGCTCCAATTAGGGGCATGTCTCCAATTAGTGGTTCCAGGATAACCCTCATAGTGCCATGGATCTGTGGAAGGGCAGGAAAAAAAGGCAATGGAATTGACTTTAGTTCAAGTTTTAAATAAAATGTATTCACTGGCAATGCTCACACTTCTAATTCATTAAATTCTTGATTATGGAGGAATTTCATATATAGCTTTATATGTCACCCAAACCCCCAAAATTTAACACAGGCACTAAATAGTTGGGCTTACAAATTCACTACATTCATCTAAATAATGCTGTGTCATGTTAGGGGTAATTTTGCTAAAAACATGAAATAGATTATTATACAGCTCAATGTAAACAAATATGGCACAAACCAATACAATGGCATCCACAGATACTAGACGTAGGTAAATGCTTATTGGTACATCAAGACACACATATACAGAAAGCATACTATTTTTCCTCGTTAGAGACACGGATCTGTTATCAGAAAGTTTAAAAAATTTGAGAAACAATATGAGAAGAGAAGGCTATTAATAATAATTGCACCTAAACTAAGAATTGCATCTAACACTAAAATATTAAATAGAACAAAATTTTAAGTTCCATGGTCCCTTTACAAACCTACACACCACATGAACATTGGCTTGATGTGAAATTATTTCTATCTTTTCCAGTAGAAAATGTTATATATTTAAAACAGTTCTACATCTGAAAGGAATTTACCCTTTCAGATAAGTCATGTTACTGAAATTATTATGCAGTATCAATATTATACAACTGAGAAAAAAAAACAGTAAGCAACAAAACTACACAATTACTGGTTCTTTCTTAGAAACTTTTTAATCAGAAAATAATGATTCAGTAATGACTTGATATCAAAATCAAAAGAAAAAAAATTGAATTTCACCTGTATACTTTTCACACCAGCTCTGCAGAAGTATCTCTTGATCTCCAAATCAATTTCACAGTTTCCAACAAAACTAAAACAAAAAAGAAAGTATACATTTCATTTTTATGAACTAAACTACAATACACTGTTAGTTCCGTTTTGCACTGTCATGACAGTGTATTTTGTACCTCAGTCTATACACAGAAAATGCATGTTAAAACATTACAACATATAACAAAGTCAAGACTGTTAAAAAAATTACACCCCCTTCAAAACATCACCACTGTCATCAAAATCACTCAAATTAATACATAGGTATGTTATCAGCTCCAGAAGCATACGTGAGAGAAAACACACAAGTAGTCTTACTTTTGGGAAATAACAGACACAGAATTCATACTCTATTTCAGGAAAGCTCTACATCAGTCTCATTGATAGTACATGTACCCAGATCCACTCTCACCTAATATAATCATAAGAAGCACTAGACAGAGATGGTTATTCTTCTAAAAAAAATCAAAGTTGCGTGAAATATTCAGAGACTTGCAAGAACAGTCACATTTAGAAATTCAATAAGCTGGGCACGCTGAGCTGGATGATCCACTAAGCAAGGCTTAAGGCAAAAACAGTTGATCCCTTTCTGAAGGGAGAGAGGAGGCAGGAAGCAAATTAGAAAATAATATATTAAAAACAATGCAAGTTTTTCCCTGAACAGTTTTTGCATCCCATTTTTGGGGGATGCAAGGTCAAGGGCTTGAAATTTTGCAGATGCTGCCCAGTATCTCAGAGATAGATTTGTAGAAGATGGTAAAAAAAAGCCCCACCTATTTTGCCCATGCTACCAGGCTAAAAGATTATTTGCCACAACTTGGACTCAGATTTTAGCAGCTGCTTTTCCTGAAGCTCCATGCATGTCAAGCATGTACCAGCAGAGTTGAGCAGACCTTTTCCAAGAACTGCTGCTGCTGTGAGCCACATTGGGTCTGAAAACAAACTAATTCCAAGACCCAATAAGGAATTTAGAAGAAAGCTTGAGACTGATTTAGCAAAGGAATTGGTCAATGATTCTACAGAAAGAGAGAAAAAAAAAAACAACAACAAAAAAACAACAAAAAAACCCCAACAGATTGAATACCAAGCTATAGCTAAGGAGAGACTGGCTGGACAAGGAGACTGGCTAAGAAGATATGGGTTATACCGAAAGAACAAATGAAATCTGAAGAGCTTTCTGAACAGAATACCCAGTTAAAGAAAATGGAAGAAGGAACTAAGCGGGGAGGAGATGAGGTATCTTAAAGCCAGACACTACAGGGAAGGGGGAAAATTTGTTTCCCTTACAGGGTACCCTGTTCCAGATTCTGCAGTAGAGCCCAGGCTTCCTCACATTAGGATCCTCAGACCTAGTCTGGACAGAGAAAAACTGTTCAGCTGTGTTTAGGAGTCTGATGGAATCTTATTACAGAAACATCTGGGAATTATGAACAAAATGGAGTTACTCTCCTCATGGGGACATTTTAGGATCAAGTCAAGATAAAATAAATTACTCTCACAGTAAGAGGAGAACAGCAGGACCCCTGCCCCCTCCCCCCGACAACTGATGGCCACAATGTCCTATCAAAAGAAAATGAAGGTGACAGTTGCTGCATTCAGGATATCCATTATTCAAACCATCTGTAGCCTCCTGTGCTCTGTGTGTGATGGTGCTGTCTACGGGATTTCAAACAAATGCAAATCTTATCAATCCCTTAAAGAGAAATAAACAATAATACCGAGACATTCTTGTAAACATCCAACACTGGAATTTATTTTGGTCTATTCAAAAGATAATGGTATGCAGAATCATTCTGGTACAATGACCAGTTCGGGGAACTAGAAGACAACAACATGACAGGGGTCTACATGAAAGGAAGGTGACCACTGCTCTCCCTGGAGAGAATGTACTGTGACCATACAGTTTAAAAATAGGTATGTAATTTTTAATACACAATTTAAAATTAAGTAATTCCTATTTTTACCCATCTAACTATATATAGAGATAGTGTGTGTGTGTGTGTGTGTGTGTGTAAATATATATATATATAAATACACACACATATAATTGCATAACAACATGACACAGAGAAGCAAGGTCAATTACAACCTGCAACTGAAACCTCAATCTTGGCACTCTGTAGCATCAGAACTAGTTGTGTTATGAAGACTGGGAAGCAATATGCTCGTTTGAAAATCCATAATAACATGATGACAAATTGAAGTAAAAATAGTAACAAACTGCATGAGGGTAATAAGTCAACACCTTGAACCTTATAATAAAGTTAAACGCGGTTTTATCCCCTAAAATATTTGGCTGGGTCCATTAACAGTTGATGCCGTCCAGAATTCCACTGTAACATGACATACAACTTGAAGGCTCACTTAGTAAGCAAATTCTATACATTCAGATCATAATATCCCAGAAATATTCATGACCCCTGTAATGTACAAATCACTGAGATAGATTAGAGTTTAATGAGGACAGTATTGTAAGAATATAACAGCAGCTGTACTGAATCAGATGAGAAGCACTGTATACTTACTGTATGTGGTCACTGTAGCCCATAGAAGATACCCAGAAGAAAAACAAAGAAAGAATAGGACAAACATATTTCCCAGATTACAATGATCTGTGATTCTGTACTTCAGACTATCTTCATTATTTTTTAGAAGGTCTTTAGACCCCATTTTTACATCTGTCTTCTGCCAGTACAATGGTAGCAAGTTTCTCCATTCAAGTATGCCACATGAAAAACCAATCTCTCGATCTTTTTTGGCCTTCTTTACTACAGTTCACATTTAATTTCACAGAGTTTATATCTTGTTTTCTGTTGATCCATAACCTTTAATTTTCCCCAAGTGTTTACTACATTCATGCAGTTTAACAAACGTAAGATTTCTATTTATTAACAATTTATTTAGACTTTATCTTAATTTGCTCAAGTAGTTAAAATTTTTCCTGTCACACATCTTTGTCACCAGAAACTAGACTTTTAAATTGTAATGTGAGTTATGACAATTTTTTAACATAAAGCTCACAGTAAGAGAAAGGTAAAGTATTGCCTTTGCAAACGTGGTCCTGAAATTGAATCTTTAAATACATTTTCCAATGACTGCTTTGTGGATTAGCTAGTCAAGCTGCTTACAAGAGTAAAGTTCTTAATTGGATCCTGAGCACTGCATAAAACCTGTTTCAAAAGGTTCTGAAAAACACTCTGAAACAATGATCATAATATACTTGATACCCTTGCAGAAACAATAAAAACTAAACCAAAACACACTCCTTTTGCAATTGAACTTAAAAGTAAAAACCAAAAAAACTCAAGGAAGATACAAAAAATACTAAAGAAGTGTTTTGGAGACACACTGAAACTATTTAAAGGTAGTTTCAACTACATTGAAGGTCCAAAGCAAATGCATATACCCTGTCACAAACAACAGACAGTAGGAAGGGCTAAAGGAAGCCACAATGGTGAAAGAGCAGGATAAAAGGATATTATCAGAAGAATGAACGTACTTTAACAAAATTAAAAATATAAACAAAATCAAATCTTTCCTTCCCTCCCCCCTGCCACACACCCCCATAGGGCTTGGCTTGGTACAGCTATTCTTACAAATGCTTAGAGAGATTGTTTTCCTTCTCAACTGTATTTAGGGAATGAAGGGTTTATAGAAAGCTCCTAACTTTAAACTTCAAAATAAATTAAAATTAGAACAAACTAATTTAACTGGAGATTAAAATCTACAGGGATAAATACTCCAAAGGACAGACTTTTCTCCAGCAGTAAGACTGTTCTTTATAATCTTGCAAAACTGAAGTTGATTCCCTAAGAAATAGGTTAGGGTTGGTATCTGTACATAACTCTGTATCTAAACATGCTAAGAATATTCATTACAGAGACTCTTATTCTTCCTTCCTGTTACTACTGAAACAATCCCAGTGATGAGTGATAGACCCTTAGAGAACATACACACAATAAAAAAAAAAAATCAAGAAGTAACAATTGATACTAGGGTGCCATCTGTCTTAAACTTGCTAAGTAAAAGCCTTTGAAAAAGAGCCCTTTCCCAATGAGCAGGTGTCAAGGACAAGTCTTAAATATGAAACAGGACTTCCTTTGATGGTGGTTTTGTCTAAGCCTTAACTGCTAGAAGCTGTGATAGTCAGTCCATAGCTCTCATTTCCATTTTCTTCTTGGAAGCCTATGCCACTGGCAGTACGGACAGGCTGTTGGGGTAAATGGGCATCTAGCTGACTCAGCACTATTATTATTTAAACACTTCTACGAATTTATTTCGGCCTCTTAGGCTGGATTCTACGCCAGCTGTTATCACTTCTGTAAGTAGGTTGCAATGTAATGCAATGAGACATATGGGTAAAGATTTCCTTCAGGTCTAGGTAATAGGACATTATTCCTGAAATTTTTGTACAAACCTACTGTCCTTTTTATGTTTATCTGTCCCAATCTACTTCATGAAGATGAGTAGGAGGAAAAAAAACCCAAAACACTAGATTTACCCTCTCCTCCTGTGGGAATAATTCTGCTTTAAAGGGAAGAAATGGTCTTGGGAGACTTCACCCCTCAAATGTCTCAAAAACAGCTTCTCAAAAACAATTTCTCTGCACTGTGTCCACAGTGGTCAGACAAGTCTGTTTTCCTGAGGGCTTAAGTCTGAAGAGATGAGGGTGTTCTCACAGCTGCTATCAAAAGTGGCAACAAAGAGAAACTGAAGGAAATTTCTCCATTAGGGCTAACGGCATCCATCCAGTGAAACAAGCTCCTTGTATTCTGTCCAGCAGCACCAAGCCCTGATTTGGATAACTCTCTTCTTCCCACAGAAAATAAAGTGATTCAATTCAATAAAGACTGGGCCCTGCTCACAGACATAGCCCCCACCCCCTGAAACCCAGGAAAGGATGCAGCAGCATCTTCTCTTATTACTCTGGGGCCCAGCTTTGACAAAACAGCACAGTTTTCAACATAGCTGAGATTTAGATAAATAATTCAAAACTAAGAATAACCAAGTTCAAACTTTGGAAGTGACTCTGAAAAAGAGAAGCTGATAGGCCCGATTACCGTTCTGGTTACTGCCAGGGAAGCAGCAAAAAACACAGAAGGCTGCTCTTTGCTGGATTGCCAGTGACTGACAGATCTGGCCTTTCCACAACCTATGAATGGGCAGAAGTAGTCACTGTAACACATATCTATGATGGTCAAATTTAATAACATTGCTGGGTTCACTGACTGAACTTTCAAAAATCTCTGTAACTGCAGATTGTGTTGAGAAAGACTCTGGCAAATGTTGGGTAGATCTATTTATAGACCTATATAAAAGGGGTCATGATGAAAGGGCAAAGAAACCTGAAGCAGTGGAGCACAGTCGCTCTGGCATTATATAATACATAGATTTACTTCGGCTAGTGGTATGAGCGCAAGTACTTAGGTAGCTATCATTTTCTTTTTCTATTACTGTGTTTATTAAAAAAAAAAAAATCTAAGTAACTGAGAAAAATAAAAAAACCCCAAACATCTTATATCCTAAATTTTAGACTAGACTAAACTTCATGGCAAAGTTTTAGTACTTAGAAAAAAAAAATTCAAAGATAGTGCTTTAGCTTTGGAAAGTATTTTTTTAATTAACCAACATTTTAATGATGCAGTCACACTGAGTTGATATACTATTTCCCTCAGATAAATACTATTTACAGGATGCAGTTCCTTCCTCTGTTCATACACAATTAGAACTAACTACATTTGCAAAATGAGGCAATTCTTCTCCTTTCAGGCCAACGTAACTACCAAATCAAACAAAGTACATTATAAAGCAAGGGCACCATCGTAATACAATAATAAAGTTTACCTGATTTGAAGATCCAAAATTATCTGCCTTTTGTCCACATTTTCAGTGTACACTTTTACACCATTTATCCGCAGAGGCTGAAACAATGAAACAAGTAAAAGTTGGATCCTTTTACTGAACTATACCATATGTCGTGGTTTAACCCCAGCCAGCAACTAAGCACCACGCAGCCGCTCACTCACTCCCCCCCCATCCAGTGGGATGGGGGAGAAAATCAGGAAAAGAAGTAAAACTCCTGGGTTGAGATAAGAATGGTTTAATAGAACAGAAAAGAAGAAACTAATAATGATAATGATAACACTAATAAAATGACAACAGCAATAATAAAAGGATTGGAATGTACAAACGATGCGCAGTGCAATTGCTCACCACCCGCCGACCGACACCCAGCCAGTCCCCGAGCAGCGAATCCCTGCCCCCCCCTTCCCAGTTCCTAAACTAGATGGGACGTCACATGGTATGGAATACACTGTTGGCCAGTTTGGGTCAGGTGCCCTGGCTGGGCATGAGAAGCTGAAAAATCCTTGACTGTAGTCTAAACACTGCTGAGCAACAACTGAAAACATCAGTGTTATCAACATTCTTCACATGCTGAACTCAAAATATAGCACTGTACCAGCTACTAGGAAGACAGCTAACTACATCCCAGCTGAAACCAGGACACCATATTAAACTCTTAACTTTGAAATAAAGGTGAATATATACACATTCATGCCTGAAGTTAAGAATTTACTATAAGCCTTATTAAAAGGTGCGAAGCAAAGCTATCAATGTAGCTCTAAATGTTATTTCAAGGGTAAAAATTACCTTGCTACGATCCACTCAACCACAGTCCTTCTGGCAATTACCCTGGGTTTAGACCACTAGATTTCAAGATTTACAAAAGATTTACTACCAAGCTTTCCCTCTCCCCTCAATAAACATCTCATTTCTCTGTACTAGTATATAACACTCCCAGACAGCACTCTTTTCTGTGCAACTAAACCAACAAGCTAAATTTAATTCACAAAAATATAGTTCCCTTAAGCAGAATTTAGTCAGAATGGATGGAAAGTAATCCATAATCACCACAAAAAGTTGTGTCAACCACTCTGTGCTCTCTCTCTAAACCGCTGTGCTCACGCTTTCTCTCCCTCCTCTCATACAGAAAAAATAACATATCAGTCAAACATTCCCAAGACTCAAATGTTCATCAAATACTAGGTGGGAGAGGATGACCAATGACCTTACTCAGCACTACCTCCTGTCACAGTTTGAGGTTTTCCTTTCTGGAAAAATTGCTGAATTTCTATGTACATCTTTTTAGTAATTTAAGTCAAATGGAAATCTCACTGCTGTCAGATTCCCACTGCGTTCGGAGCTGTGCAGCTCACAGGATGCAACTTAATTAAGGCTGCAATATAAAGTAATAATAGCTGTTTCTTGTGTCTGAAATAACTCAGTCCAGCTGCAGAAGCACACAGAGGTGTGGAAGCTAATTTAAACCCTACTTAAAATCAGTATGGCTTAAAAAGAATGCTATTCTACAGTCTGTAATACAGGTGTATCGATGGCAGGACAGAGACCCCGTGTAAAAGGATTTACAACTTTAAAAAAAACCCCAAACAAACAAAACAAAAAAACCCCAAACAAACAAAACAAAAAACCACCAAACAAAAGGTGCAGTGAAGTATGATGAACTGTAATATACATGAAATAGAGTCACCAAGAGAGAAAAATAATTCCCCTCCATCACACCTGAAACTTAACTTCAGTTTTCCTAACATTCAGAGGAGGCGGGGGCTGGGGGAGGAATATATTTAAATCCTTACTTAAAATCCTATTTATGACAAGCAAGAGGAACACAAAAGACAACTTCACAAAAGCTGTTAAGACACATCTCAACAGAAGGAAAGTTCTGGTTGATGCAGGTAAGAGTAAGTAGTGCTGAACTTACTGCAAGCAGAGGTAACTTATTCTTAGCTTGGACTAGTCAAATGGGCTCTTCTGCAGAGATATATATTATGACCCTTCTTTCACGGGACCATACAGAAGGTAAACACCTATCTGCTCCTTGATACTATGTTATGTGCAGTCCTTTGGAAAGCTGAGCCAGCAGCCTTGTCACTGAACTCTGTACATAACATGATTAAAAGTTCATCTGTTTTAAGAAAGTAATTGCACTTGGATCATCTGGCAAGAAAAAGATAATGGTCCCTGTTCACTTAATGTAAAACATTACATGAACAGTATTAAAATCATGTTGCTATGAGCTCTTCACATAGGAGTTACTATACTTTGAGTCTTATCCCAATTCTCATGCAAATTTCTGAGGCAGAGACGGCAGGGAAAAAAAAAGATAAATAAAAATTAAGCCTCTGCTAAAAAAGCCACACACTTTTTTATTTTAATGTTACAACAGAAACCAGAATCAGGCTTACCACCAAGTGTCACCAAGAAATATTTTTGTGTAGACTTAAAGAGGCTACATGAAAACAGTATGTAAGACAGAACCTCTTAGAAAAACTTCACCAGTCACTGACCTGATGACCGATATCAATCTTTGTAAAACTGAAGGTACTGAGGTGGTTGTTTGCTCCTCTTACTGCTGGTTCTATGGTCTCTCGGAAGAGTTTCTCAATAAATTGGCAAATAAAAGGCCACATCTGTTTTACAGTCTAAGGGAAAAAAAAAAAATCTACATGGAATACAACTTTATACACAACTAAAAATATTCTTTAAGGCATATGTAAGAAATTTTGTACAGCATACAAGTTTTCTATACAGTTCATCACAGACATAAGAACTGGTTCCTTTTTACATACAAGAAAGTTTTCTGGAATTCTCAATTTGTGTGTTTTGTATGTTTGCACAAATCTCAAGCACTGGAGAAGGAGAAAAACAATATTAAGAATTTTCTTCTTTTATCCCACAAATGTATATACATTCAGCACTGATGCTGAATGTTGGGGAGAAGGGTGAAGAGGGTTAGGTTTCTTTGCATGTAAAGAGAGGAATAAGAAAAAATTGGTCAAGTGCATTTCTTAAATACATGCATAAAGTTTATAAATGTCAAAAATACAGTATTTTACTGTCATATCTGAAAAGTCTAGATTGTTTTGGGTTTTTTTTTATTTTCTAATTAACTGATGTTTTTCTATGCTCTTTGAATGAAAGATATTTTGGGGGAAAAAAAAAAACCAAACAAGCTACATAGATCTGTATCTTAGATTATCACACATACAAATCCAAATGGGAAAATTGATCTATTTTTAGATTGTAGGTCAGGAACCTACAGTACTGGAAAGTATCCCAGACAAGTAGAACATAAAAGACTGTGTTTACAGCTGCTATGACTTCCACACAATTATAGCTGTCATTATTTTAATGCCACTTAAAAGTCATTCTCCAAAACTCAATTTCAAGACCAAGAAAATAGATTTAATCTTTCTCATGACTAACTGGATCAATGACCAGACCTTTCAAGTGCATAAAGAGCACAGAAAGTTAAAACTACTCTGCTCTCAGATTCTTGCCTCACTGTTTTTTTTAATCTCAGATTTCCCTCCTCCCCCTTCCCATCTGGAAGCAATGCTAATGACTACCCTTACCTTGTTGAGCCATTCTGCCCTCTCTGTGTCTGGAAAATGGACCTAAAAAAAAAACCAAACCATCAAACAAAAAAATTAATACAAATACAAAACACTTTTTAGTTAATCATGTCCAGTCATTTATAATACAGGTAATCTTAGGGATCTCCCTCTGAGCAATGTGTATGTACAGTGAACAACATACTAAGCAGTTAACATTCTTGACAAGAATATTAGAATTCAAGCAGATAAAATATGAACTCATTTCTGAACTACATAGATACAAGTCCAAGCATATATTTAATAGTGGCATCTGGAATAAAGTATTGCTTTAACACCATAAATGAACTAAAAAAAAATAAGCACAGTTGACGCAGCTAGCATCAACCAAATTTACCTCCTATGTTTCAGGGTTTTTTAACATGACACACATAACTGCCAGAGTCCTGACTGCACTTCTACTTCCTTTCATTCATGCCACATCTTCTGCAATACCAATAAATCATGCCTAGAAATATTTAATCAGTGAAGCTGAAGCTCAGGAATATGGATTTAAGTTGCACCAAAAGCCCTTCAAAAGACATTCTTAGTGATTTCTTTTCTTAACTGCAGAAAACAGTAAGACATGGAAGTATGATGGTATATACATGGGATGGAAAGTACCCATGACAACAGGAAAACACCAATTAAATGCTAGAAGAACAGACACACTTTTCCAGGCACAGGAGAGCATGGTTAGTAGCTTTACATCTTACACACAAACCAAAAAAAAAAAAAAAAAAAAAAAAAAGAAAACCTGAAGCAGTTCAGTAGAAGGAGAGTTAACAAACATTTCTTTAGAAATGAACAGCTTCTACAACAAGATGCAGATCACACTTCTGAAACACAAAGAGCCTTTGAACACACTAAAAAACTGTGACCTACATATACTGACTTTCATGAAGCTATGTCTCTACTAACTGAACTGTCAAGTCTTAATCTCTTCATAGCATAACAGATTGTACCACTGGTTTTAACAGCAGTGCCTACCGGTTATTTTTATTATGCATATATCCCCAAATGCAAACAGTCAGTTAAATACATACTTTTTAAACTGTATTTTCAACAAGTTGGATTTGAAAGCAAGCCCCATTAATGATTTGTTTAGTTTTTATTAAATTCTTGCATTAACAGTCAGCACTAACATAATCTTGAATGTACTCAGGTTACCTTCAGATTAGTCCTCAATTTCATCTAAGCATCCATGTTTTAGCTATGCTGGAGGATTGGCCCCTACAGCATAATCAATATTGTCAGTTATTTCTCTGGTCTGTTTCTTTCTCAATATTTCCAGGCCCATAATTAAGGTAAGCCGTACATTTTTACAGATTCTTGAAGAATTACAAATACTGCTGTCTTCCACTGTCAAGAGAGAGGCTCTTGGCATCTTTTTCAAATTACTTTTTTCAAGTATATCACATATCTATCAAAACCATTACAAGTGGAACAAAAATGACCGATGATCTGCTTGACTGTAACAAAAACATTGAATAGGATGTATTTTACTTAGTGAGTTCAAAGAATAGAATTATTAATAATGGATGGAGCAGTTTTGTAATCATATTATATTTTATTTATTTAGAATTAATTTCCTACAAAATTATGCTGGGTAGAATGTCAAAAGTCTGTATTCAGAGGGCTGGATGGGGGTTTTTTCCTTTCTTAAAAACAAAAAATACTTAACTTTTTTTTTTTTTTGCATTTACAACACAAGCAGTTACTGCATGTACATGAATTTATAGCTGAACAGGGCTTACACTCAATTTTTGTCTTGCAGGGTTCTCAAGTTGCTTCCAGTCCTCAAGAAGTTAAAGGAACCAAAAGAATGAACACTATGTTAACCATAATGCTAATAAGTACCATGTTGACCTTTCTGCTAAAATATTTGCTTTCTGAATCTGCAGACAGAAAATGTGCCGATTCTCACTAATTACTTATCTCTTAAGCATGATGTTAGATCAATATGAATATTTCATTCTGATTTTCTTAGGAGAGAGATCAATGAGGTTCACAGGGTGGGAACTCAAGAACTGTTCCACACAGGGGAGAACATGAACTACAGCCATTGTAATGAACAGCAACAAAATAAATTAAAAAGAAAAAACAAGTTGAACACACAGATGAGGAAAGGAAAAGAAAATTCATGGAAATACCAAAAGCAAACCTGTCTGCTGCAAGTAATGCAAGACATAACAGAGTTACCATGTTCACACTTCATTTTTAGTCTTTTGTACAGGTATCCAGTTGACATCAATGGGAGAGCCACACTAGACTGAGAAATACTTCCCATCCTAAATATAACCTCAGCCTGGATGAAATTAATCTTCCTCCACAGTGACCCAGCTTCCCAGATTTAGGGTATAAACTCCCCAAGGCATAGGCCACATTCCCTGAGCTATGCGCACAGGTGACATTCAATTCATTTGACTGGAATAAAACAGGTAGCATCTCTCTCTTGCACCTCTCAAGCACCCTTCTCATTCAGTCCCAAATTATGCAGAATCACTTGAGATAGTTTGGAAAACAAGGGGCCACATACACTAGTATTGAGCCATATATGCCAATTTATTAATTTTAAAGTTTATCTGCTGCACAGTCTTTATTACGACCTTGCTTAACAGGACATGGTTCTTACTTTTTCCACAGATTTAATAATTACTTGTCCTTCAGTGTGCCACACCTATCATGCTCCTACCATTATCTGAGTTAGTACTAAGTCAACTCCTCAATTATATAAGCCTAGTTTACTTCTACAGTTGCACACATTAATAGGCAACAAACAATACAATGAATTACATCTTCCATTCCTGCTTCTTATCCCTCTTCCAGCCTTGCTTTCCTACTCACTCCACTTTTAACATAATTCAGTTGTATTCAGTGTCTATTCTGACATCCAAAACAGAGTAGAGAATACAATCTTCCATCTTCAAGACCCTGAAATTTTTAATCCAGCCAACCTTGAATCAAAAGTTGAGCTGTATTTAATCTTTAGTTGCTCCACAACCAGCTAGGCTGAAAACAAGGCATAAACACTTATCAATCTACTAATTCCATACATTTTTAGTCTGCTATATGAGACTGCAATATTAATGGCAATGTCGTATTTTGCGTTAAGAGTTTTTGGTATCAAACACAATCTTACACAAAGACAGCTGCAGAAAGCCTGAGGGATGAAGTTGGTACTCTGGATCAGTCAGGACTGACACGAGCATGAAGGCAACTGCACAAACATTTTATGGCCAGAAGCAAGAATCAGACAAACTGACGCGCAAAATCTGTTCATTCCTATATAAAATCTATTAGACAAGCATGACAGAAAGAGACAGAAGTCAAGATTTCAGCAAAGACACTCAAAAGACTAAAAGTATTCTCCACTTGGTTTCTGTTATTAAATTGCTCATGCAGGTTTGATAATTACTGTCTCATTTCAACCACTTGGTGTAGTTATTATTCAAAAGGAAGTGTAACTAGAGAGAACTGTTGCAAGAAACACCCCAATGACCATGTTCAGCATCAAAAACATTATATTATTACATGTTCTGGGAATGTTCTAATATTAACAGATCTGCAAAAATACTTGGAAGTGCTCAAAAGATGCATTTTTGCACATTAAAAATACATGACAGCTTTCTCACACAACTGCTTGTGCTCAGCTCTAAACAACTCTCATGTCTACTTCCTATTTCTAATACATTCATATCTTGTGCTGTCAAAAACTCAATTCATAACACATTATTTTTTTGTAATGATCAATAGAATACCAGAAAGAGGCCAAGGAATGTACTTCCTTATTCTGTCCTGGAAGATAATAAACCAAAATATATTTCCTTGTTCCGTCCTGGAAGATAATAAAACAAAACAGGGACAGAAGAAAACCACTAACAAGCTCCTATTTCCATAATAACAGCAGAAACATTTCTTACCCACAATTATTTTATTATTCAAACTCTCTATATACGCTCTTCATATTGGCTAAATTAACTCAGTTTTCTGCCCAGATGATCATCTGCATCTTTCAAAGGAAACAAGGCTAGACAAAGAATAATTACCATTAAACTCAATCCCCACAGACTAAGGATTGGTAGGAAATTTTGAAAAGTCAAATATTAATCAGCAAATGATATCAAATGAGTTTCAAAGTGCAAATAATAATATTGCTGCCTTAACTATAATTCTTCATCCACATAAAGGAGGTTTCACATATCTACATAAATGTCACTAAAAGCAAAGATTGACAAGAAAATGAGAAAGAATGAAGTTACAACACCCTTCTGGAAGTAATGCTGAATTGCTCTCACCACAAGTTACAGGTATTAATAATCTAATTTAAAAATATAAATTGCACAGTAGTTGTTATTCACTGATCCCCTCACTGTAGAACACCTCTCTTTTTAAAATTATCTTTGTAGCCTTCTCCACCCTTAAAGCTATTTATCAGCCAACCCTTGTTATATTTAACTTCTATTTAATGATTCTGATTAATACATAGGTCCTAAGCATTATTTACATAAACTGAAACAACAAAAATGGCACCTACATTAAAAGTACAAAGCTACTGCTACTGACCAGAGTATTCCATAAAGTGAAAACTTTTTTTGCTACAAACCAATCACTTTCTCATTAATTGCGTATTACAGCAAAGTCAGAAAAGGAAGCAATAAAAGCAGTTTAGATTAAAAAAAACCCAACAAACAAAAAACCAAACAAAACCCCCACACCACTGTATGTTGGCTTTTCCCTTCTATTCCCCCCCAAGGATTAAACGTATGAATTCAATTTTAGACTACGTTAAAAATAATGTGTTATAATAGCTATGTTTAACAGATACTTATCTGAGTCAACATTACTTAGCTTATGTCTAGTTCCTTCCATTTCCACTGTTTAATTACTTGCTGCTCCAGATGAAAATCGTAAAAGAAACTATACCAGTAATGTTTTGATTAATTATAAGATCCCACAGTATAACCAATTCTTGATATAGTTACAATGTAACTAAGTGTCCTTGAGCAGTTTTCCAATTACTT